CAGCACAATTTTTTATTGCACCCACACTAACAGATAGACTGCAGAAAGCACTGCTATTGCAGAAGCGCAGCTATTGCTACTGAGCAACAAAAACTGAAAATCTCAACAAATAAAAGTCGAAAAAAGAATTTTTGTCATTTGTTGAAATTTTCATTTATATCTGCTAGCGTGGGTGCAATACAAAATTGTGCTGAAACCGATTCCCCGGACGACGACATCCCGCAGCAAATGTTATTTTGCGATGTGTCCAACGTGCACGAGAAACAGGACGTCTTCTTCAAGATCGACGACACGCTGGTGTAGCAATGCGTATCCCTGTCGGCCAAGAAGAGAGAATCCTGTGTTCACGCACGAGCGTAAAATATGCCTCCAGGTCAGCTGAAAGATTTCATTCTTTCTCGAAGTTGCGGGTGCGCAAGGAACCGCGGCACGGGGCATAAACATCCTGTTTTCACTCATACATAAAAGCCATCGATATACCGCGTGCCGAACGCGTGTCTCCATTTATTCCACCCACAGCCGCCCATTCTACGCCAATTCATTAAAGCGAAATTCAGTGGCTCGCGCCGAGAACGAAGGCTCGCGCGGACATTGATTGGTCCTTCGAGCCAGATTTGTGGGTGTTCGCGAGTGAAATCGCATGTGATCCGAATGAAGTCAGTGGTGCTCCAATTTATCTAACGCGACGGACTCTCCTCTGCGGTCAAGTACGATCGAACCTACGATTGCTCCGACATCCTCGGATACGAAGCGGGCGCCGCGTGCACTAGCCCGTGCCCCGCGATCTTACGAGCATTCCTGGGCATACCCTCGAGTACGACGATAACGACAGTGAAACCGTGGGCGCTGCGTGCACTTGCCCGCACCCCACGCGAATAAGTGCACTCGCACCGGCCTTGCCGAGAAATTCAGCGAACTACTGGGCGCTGCGTGCTCTAGCACGCACCCCGCGCTGTATACGCGTCATAAAACGCGCATTCATAGTGGCTGTTGTACACACAATCACATCTTAGTATTACTACAAGACCTTCTCAATCTCGTCGCCAGTGATCCTCAACTTGACCGATTAGCTATCCGGCCGTCGAGCCAGGCTCAACAGAAATCGCCCGTGGTCGCTGGAGGTGAAGCGCCCGCGCAGCCTCACCTTCAGCACGCCTCGACGCACCGCACGGCGTGCGTGTGCCTCTGCGGCTTCCAATCCGTCTCCGAGGTTCTCAGCCGCTGACGCCGCGCAACCGACCAGGGTCACGCTCCGCGGATATCACCTCAGCTTCTCAGACGATCAAGCATCTCCCAAGCTACTCCGGCGCTCATCTTTGCCGCGCCGCGAGTACCCTCACATCACCGCGCCTTCATCGTTCAACGCCTAATTACAATCTTCGCATTGATCCCAAGCCACTTATCTTTCACGCGATCCTGAAACCCGTCGTAACGAATGGCGGAAACACTTCAAGGTCTGCTCATCACGCAGGCTCAAACCATTCACTCAATTGAGCGGGCGCTCATCAATTTCAAGAAGATGGCTAAAGCTAGCATCACTCTTTCCACTGTGAAGAGGCGCCTGCAAAATCTGGACCAGCTCTGGGAATCCTGCCGCACTCATCACGTACGCATCCTTCAGAA